ATTGATTTCCCTTAAATCTTTAAATGTTCATTTTTAAATTAACTAAGCCATTAATTGTTTAAAATGAACCTGTCCTGAGAACCTATTATATACCAGGGATTGTGCAATAATCTAGTGGGAATAAGAAAAATGAGACATCATTGCCTCAAGGAATAATTTGGTTAGGGGTACTTGACAAAAAATAAATAAATGGTTACACTTGAAATGATCATTTGTATAGCAGGCGCAATGGGTACACCAAAAGGAGGCGGGTTAAAATAGGCAAAAATATCATTGAGGACATCGAATCAACTGCTCACCCTTTTTATTTTTAAGATTTATTTTTATTTATTTATGCATAAAAGAACTGGGTGTAGACCAGAGATGCTGGAGGTGGGGGGGGGGGATGAGAGGATTCATCAGAGACAGAGTGGGAAGCAGAACAGGCAGATCTGCTGAAATATACTGCTGAGGGGAGCAGTAGGCGAGACAGGAGAGAGGTCTGCCATGCCATGTGGGTTAGCTCCATGGCCTGGGACTGAACTTGTGCTGCAGTGGCTGTCGGTAGCTTCATAGTGCTGTGACTCAACACGTTGCACCACCAGGAAGGCCCTGCTCAAATTATTATTATGTATTGAGTATTTAACATTAAATGTAGAGCATGTTAGTATGAGATGGATGGAAGAATGAAACAGTGAAAGATTTTTATGCAGAAGAATTTTCTCTAGTGTGACTAATAACAAATCACCAAAATATTAGTATTTAATTAATTTTATCTCACTGACACTATGATTTCCATAGTACTCTTATGGGTTTTGCTAAAAACAAATGCATCTATTTTTCAGGGAATGAGAAAATCTATTATACTTATTATGTATTTGGCAAACATTTAATTCATACTCTGACAGATATGTCTAGGCATTATGCTTCAATGGCATTTTAATTTGGGGTAATTTCAAACAGTTTCAGTATTTTAGTTTTGGGTAATTTCTGTAAGAATCTTACTCTACCATACTGTATATCTGTTTGAGGCTTTCACTAAGGGAACCATTCAGTAGAGAAATTGGTTGGCAGTGTGTATGCACACACTTAATTTCATTTAGTAATGCCATATTTCTCTCCAAATTGATTTATCCTCCCACTATCATTATATGAAGAATCCTGTATTGCCCTTTCCTGCTATGTGCATCATCCAAATTATTATTTTTATGTTCCTTTGATGGTGCATATCTGGGTTTAGTTTTTTAAAATCATTTATTTTTTTAATCAAAAAGTATTTTATTTATTTATTTATTTATTTATTTATTCTATTTTCTAAAGATTTATTTATTTATACAAGAGATGCTGGAGGTGGGGGGGAGTGAGAGGATTCACCAGAGACAGAGTGGGGAGAAGAACAGGCAGACTGACCAAAAACAATGCCAAAGGGAGCAGAGGGCCAGACAGGAGAGGTCTGCAGTGCCATGTGGGTATCGCTCTGGCCATCCGGAAATAGAACCCACGCTGCAAAGGCTGCAAACAGCTTCACAGTGCTGTGCTCAACCTCCTGCACCACCAGGGAGGCCCTATTTATTCTTAATTTAAAATTTTTTTTAAAACATCCTTGTTTATTTTTTCACAATTTAGAATTTCTCCCCTCAGGTGTGGGAACTCCCACCGTAGTTTTCCCATCACCAAAGTGCCCACAGTCCTCCACCACACTCTCCTTCCCTGCACCCTCTTCTCTACTCTTCTCCTCTCCCTCCCTGCCCTTCTCTCCTGAGTGTCTCAGATCTGTGGTCTGCTTTCAAAGCTAAGTATTGCATTTTGTCTTTGATTCTTTGTTTAGTTGCTCTAGAGTCCACATATAACTGGAAGCATCCAGCATTTATCTTTCTTTTCTGACTTATTTCATTTAGCATAATCCCTTCTTAGGTCCATCCATGTTGTCGTAAATGGCGTTTAGTTTTTTTGTTTTTGATTGCTGAGTAGTATTCCATTGTGCATATATTCCATATAGTCTTAATTCACTTATGTGTTCTGGAGCATTTAGATTGTTTCCATATCTTGGCTATTGTAAATTGTGATGCTATAAATATAGGAGTGCAGGTTGAATTTGGCTATAATTTTTTCTTATATAAGAAATCAATTTTTCTGTTGTATTAGTTTCCTAGGGCAATAATTATCAATTACCATAAACATTAAAGTAATGGAAGCCTATCCTTTTATAGCTCTGAAGCAGAATTCCGAAATAAAGATATCTGCAAGGCTGTGGTCCCTCTGAAGCCTCCAGGAAAGAGTCTCTCCTTACCTCCTTCAGATTATGGTGGCCCAATGTGGCTTGGATTCCAGGAACATAATTCCAATCTCTGCTTATCTGTATCTTCACATGTATTTTTCTCTGTGTGTCTGTGTCTCTTCTTTTCTCTCATGGGCGCTCTCTTGTTTTTAGGGACTACCCAAGGCAATTTGATCTCATTCAGATCCCTATCTTACTTACATCTGCACATATCCTAGTTCCAAATAAAGTTAATTCTGAAGTTCCAATTGGGAATGGACTTGTGGGTAAACTATTCTACCAGCTATACCTCTATTTAAACTTTCTATGGTTAAAAATATAAATTATTTAGTGTTTTGTGTTTATCAGTTTATCAGGCCTGATAAACTGCTGTATGTAGCAGTTTTCAAAACACAACACTTGAAAGCAGGTGATTCTTAAATTGAAATGTTCTATAACACTGTTCTTTGTCTTCAGTGCGTAAGAACAATAAATTAACCTTGAATTATTTATCCATGGACTCAGCTTCCCAGTCCTCTATTATGTTTCAAACTCTTTCTGGATTTTGGGAAGGAAATTATTTAAAAATGTATTTTCCAGAATTTGGGCAACGAGTTAGAGATAGGATAGAATTAGAAAGAGGTAGGTGGTTTCTCAAACAGTTTAAGTTTAAATCTCAGTTCTTTTACTTGCTTGTTGTAGAAACATAGGTTATAAAATCCTTTTGCTTCCATTATTTCATGTTAAAAAGTGGAAATTAAACAGGATATAACTCATAAAACTGAGATACTCAGGGACTTTAATACTCAAGTTTTGTAATTAACTTAAGAAAATAAATAAAGTTAATTACAAAAAAAAGAAAAAAAAAAAACCCAAGGAATAGAAATAGGAGAAAGTAGTCACTAGGTGGCGCACAAATTCCTTTTAAACTGGTTTCAATTTTTGGAGGGAGTTGTAACTTCCTATTTTCTTAGATTTCTTGTACTAACCTACTGGAAATGTTGACAATAGTTCCACTGAATTTAGTAAATTTGTTCATGTCAAATAAACCAAATGCAAATTGTACCTTTCATCATCCCAAATACTGTATCTATATGTTTGTTAAAGTGTGTAAAATATTCATTGTATTGTATAAACACATTAAAATCAGTAATTTTCCTCACTGGAATTGTGTTTTCTAAGAACTTTTATAATATATACCTATTTTGATCTTTAGCTTTCAGGGAAAAAAAATCAGAAATATCTATTGAATGCTAGGCATGTCATGGGCTAAAATGTGGATTAAGATATTGAAAAATATTAGGAGACAGGATTATTGTAGATAAGACACTAGATACCAAATTTAAGGACTTGACTACATAGCATATAGGATTTTGGAGGTTAATGAAACTCTCTTGTGTTGCAATTGTGATAGTTGCATGACCATCTGCATTTTTTAAGATTCACAAAACTCTAAAGAGAGTAATTGTTTTTCCTATAAACTATACCTTAACATTTTAAAAAAGCTTAGTATTGATATTAAGAATTGACAGTAGGTTTCTCAGAACTGTTAATTATCTCTTCTCTGTTGTGTGTTCTGACTCAATTTACAAATAGAAAGAAGGACAAGAAAAAGACAAATATCAGAGTTATTGGTGATTAAGTTGTACTGGACCTGCAATTCCAAAAGTCTTTATACATCCTTCCCTTAATTTTAATTCTGGGACTCATACAAAGGCAGTGTTTGCAGAAAAAAACAAAAACAAGGACAGAACTGAAATGGAGGGGTAAATTTGGACTAGTCTGTACAGGGATGGTCTGTGCTTTCTCTCTCTCTGTCTCTTTCTTTTGGTTTTTAATTTCAGTATCACATGGTTTTGAATGCCTCAGAATGCCTTCTTGTCTTTTACTATATAATCAGATTACATTTCACTTCCCTCTGCTTCTTCTTTAGCCATCAAACTCCATGTTTCAGCTCAAGGAATTTCTGTGCATTACCTCCAGTGCATTCTGTTATTTCAAGTTTCCATGTACTCTCACATACCACTCCCTCAGTCTGTGATGCCTTTCTTCTCTATCAGCTGATGCTTACTATAAATTCTTCCTCCTCCTGGAAGTTTTTCTGGCCCTTGCCTGGTTTAGACACCCCTTCTCTATGCCCTCACAGCACCCTGGGCATCATGTAACATGGAGCTGCTCATGTGACAACACAAATGCCAGTTTACCTCATTCTTTCCATCCATAGGCTGTTAAGCAGCTTGAAGCCCTACAGATAGCTTCTGGCACTTTGTAATCTCACAAAACTTTTGAAAGATAATTGTATCCACTGTGCCTATGGCAAATATCTGAAAATTAGTATACCTTAACTGAGGATTGCCTACAAATGCAGTTTCCTAACACTGAATAGTAGCTAGCCACCACTCAGTTAAGCAACGGTGTGAGTTGTCATCAACATGTATTTTCTAACCACAAATTAGCAAAAATAAAACCAACACAATGATAATGTATTTTGTAAGGATTAACAACATGCAAAAATAGTAACAGAAATATGTAAAGAAGTTTTTGCAGCTAAAGAAACTAAGCTACAGAGAATTTATTCATATTTTTCAAATTGCATAAGGTGTGGTCTGCCAGGCCAAAGACATTTTGCTGTTAGCCATTAAAAGTGACAAAAAGAAGTTTACTTTTAACAATTTCACATATTATCTCCTTATATAGAACTTGAAATACATTAAAAGCTTACTCCTTAATAACATCCAAACACATTTCATTTACAAAGTGTGTTTTAATTTATATGTCGAGTCCTTATCTTCTTAATGGCTGCTTTTACCTCTTGATTTCTTAATGTATAAATAATAGGATTTAAGAGAGGGGTGAAAATTGTATAAAACACAGAGAGAATTTTATCTGCAGAGTATTTTCTGAAGGGCCATGTGTAGATGAAGACACACGGAGCAAAGAACAGAGTCACAACCGTGATGTGTGCTGAGAGAGTGGAGAAGGCCTTAGAGGAGCTCCCTGCAGCGCGGTGCCTGACCGAGTATATGATGACTGTATAGGACACAAGCAAGAGGAGGAAGCAGATGAGGGACAGGAGACCACTGTCAGCAATGACTAGGAGTTGCAGCACATAGGTATCTTTGCAGGCAAGTTTGATCACAAGGGGCAGGTCACAGAAAAAGCTGTCTACAACATTGGGACCACAGAAAGGCAAGTTCAACATGAAGGCCATCTGACTGGATGAGTGCACAAATCCAACTGTATAGGAGCACAACACTAGCCCAGTGAGCACCCGTGGGTTCATGATCGTCATATAATGGAGGGGCTTGCATATGGCAACATACCTGTCTATTGCCATGGCTACAAGCAACATCATCTCACTCCCACCTAGGAGGTGCATGAAGAACATCTGAGAATAACATCCCCACCAAGATATGGTTTTCTTTTCTCGGAGGAAATCCATAATCATCTTAGGGGTTGCAAAGGAAGCCAGGATCATATCAATACAGGAGAGATTGATAAGGAGAAAATACATTGGTGTGTGAAGGCGTGAATCAAAGGTGACAGTGACCAAGATGAGGAGGTTTCCTAACACAATCCCCACATAGACTGCAGAGAACCCCAGAAAGAACAAAACCTGAAGATGATGAGACTTGGAAAGTCCCAGCAAAATGAACTCAGTTACCACTGAATGGTTTGTTCTTTCCATATCATCCACTTTTCCCCATAATAATCAAAATGAGTAAGGGACTGGACCATTGTGTTTCCAGGAAGGATGGTTCATGTTGATGTCCAACTTTTATTACAAAATGGCCCTAAATGGTCCAGAGAAGTATACCAAATAGACGCAGAATTCAGAACATATTTCTGAAAAACAAAGATAAAAACAGTACATGAAACCACAATTGGATAGATTGTGGACTTGGAACCAGAAGATCTCAATACAACACTTAGTTGAGTCACTCACTGGGCAACACAGGACAAGTAATTCTCCTTTCGAGGGTTAAATTACTTCCTCAGTAAACTCAAAATACTGAAACATTATATCTAATGCCTTTTTGTGCTATAAAGATCTCCAGAAATTTTCATGATGGGTTCTGTGTTCACAAAACAACACTGACTTTTTATGTAGAAAATACATCCAGGATTTTCAAAAGCCATTTTTGAAACAGATTCTGATTTTAAAAACTATGAATTTAACCTATTAAGTGTTAATGTAAGTTTGAGGTCCTGAGAAATATACCTCCTCTCTTCCTTGCTCCAGATTTTTTTTTTTTTGCATCAGTGCCTCACAGTTCATTCTAGTATTAGTCATTAAAGTGATAATTAGACACTTGTTATGAATCTATAACAATTATTGTGCTTGGAATTTAGGTATGGAATTTATTCGCTTAACACTTACCATTATTAATATCAAAAATCTCCTTTGGGATTATAGGAAAGGATTACAAAGGATGCAGAAAATCTACAGTCAATTGTTTTTTTTTTTTTAATTTTTATAAATTTTATTTTTATATTCCCCATACAATTGCAACCCCCTTATTTTGACCCCAATCCCTCCCCTCCTCACCCCCTCCCACCCTTCATAGAGTGTCTTTGGTTCATAGTTTTTGTTTTTCACTTTCTTATAGTTATTCATTTTCCTGGTCCCTTATTTAAGTTTTCTAGAACTTAATTTACTTCATTTCCAATTTGTATTCACTTGCTTGCTTGTTGCTACAGTTTGTCACATGGCTTCAAAATGAAACAGAGCTTGAGGTAGCTGACACGTTGGTACAAAAATGATACTTTCAGTATCATCATCTAAATTTATGACATAACTGCCATCAACCCATGATTATTATAAAACTAGTTTACTGATTTTGCTTTAAAAAATTACATTGATCACTAATAATTTCAAAATTTTCTAGTTTACACAAGGTACTTCAAAAATAAAATATAGTCTATGTGCCATTATTGCTTCCAGAGAGAAGGAAATATTTTCATGTGAAGGTGCCTTATGAGAACCCCAGGAATACCCTCGCCTCTCCTTTTCCTGTATTCCTTTCAATTTATGTTGATTTACTTCTTCAATCATCAGAAACGGAAAGAGGAATAATAGTGCTGTACTGTTTCTTTGAGACAATCTCTTGGGTATACTTATTCAATTGGGGCTGCTTTTTCCCCTTTTATGAATATATTCATTGGCCACTTTCCTACTTGAGAATCTTGGCTTCATGTAATGTACTAAATCACATCAAGTATGTGAAGTTATTTCTATGTCTTAAAAAATGATGTCTCCTTTTAGCTTTATGCTTAGTATTTTAAGGATCCATATATAATGTTCCTTCTTGAAATTTAGCTTTTGAAATTGTATTAAAGAAAGTAGGTCAGTTTTCAAATATACACGAAGTAGTAGCTGGAATAGTACATGAAATTCAAATATCCATTGCATGGATGAATAAACCATGTAATGCATGTACAGGATATAGATTAAAACATTTTTGAAGCAAAATTCACAAAATTTGGAAACTTGAGTCATTTATTTTTAAATGTAAAATTGGATTCTAAAGGAGTTTTAAAGTGAAACAGAAAAACCATTTAAAAATCATAAGAAGTATGTATTTTCTCTTTAATTTACTTAAAAATAAAAGCAGCTTATGCAAAAGGGAAAAGAAAGGCATGCCATACATAATACAAGAATAACTAAATATTTGCAGTTTGTTCTCTTGATAGCTTTCCAGAAAAATAATACACATATTAGTACTCTGTGTATGTGCACAGATGTGCTGAGTATTTGTGTATATTTTCATTTATAAACCTTTTATTAAGACAACAGTGTTCATGTTATGTGTACAGTTATTTGTCTTATCAATTACCACATTAAAATAAGTTCCCGTGAGTACATAAAAGTCATAATGGCTATAATGAATTACATTTTGTAGATAATATATAATATACCCCACACACAATTTATTAGGGATTTAACATTACTTACAAAAATTCTGTTTTTATCTTATTATTTTCTGATAAAAAATGTGTAATTACATAACTAACTTGTCGATCCCAGAATTATTTTAGGCATTTCATAATCAGCATCTCGTCTACCTTAAAAAAATCTAATACTGTTTATTACTATTACAAAAAATCAATTTCTATTTCAGTAAAAACATTCTCATGGTTTTATACATTCTTCACACACATTTTTCTATCCCTGCTTGCTTTCTTCTTTGTAGCTAAACAAATTCACTTGTCCATATAATCAAATCCTTCAGAATATTTCAAGTTCTCTCTCCTACATAATAAAAGCTTCCCTAGATATGAAACTCATACAATTTCTCCTGTAAGTACAGTCCATTTCATGCATTCTACTACTTAATAATTATCCAGGTACATTATCTGCACTAGCTCTTAATACTCTGAAATAGAAAGAACACTAGGACAAGAGTAAGACCAATTTGTTCTAATTCTAGGTCTTTCATTTCTTCTTTCCTCAAGTCACTTTTTAGCTCCTTGAATATCACAAATTACTTTTACATTTCCCATAATACATATCATAAATAGAGTTGTTGATGGAATGTAAAAGCAGGTGGATATATTAAAAAGGAAATTTTTTTTTACTTTTTCTAGAATATGCATTTAAGATATAAAATTATGGTGTAGAGAATTTTGTTACATACCAAAGATTTTCTGCTTTATACTCCTTAACCCCTTTCTAGTTCTTCAGTATAACTTGCACTAATCTATGATTTTTATTTAGGAGACATTTTCATATATCTTTCACTTACACACACACACACACACACACACAGAGAGAGAGAGAGAGAGAGAGAGAGAGAGAGAGAGAGACTCCCTAAGGGTGTGGAGAGGTCAGATGAGATACAGAAAAGAGAAAAAGTTTGTTTTCAAAAGGATTATTTTGGTTTTCTGCCTGGCAGCATCCACCCTTCCTGCAGAAGCAGGGTATTTATTTATTTATTTTTTTGCTGTGAAAACTTTCATATTATCTTAAAAGGACTGGGAATAAATATGTAGAACTTTAAAATCAACATTTTAATTCTGATGCATAGGTTCTTGCACAATTAATATAATGGAACTAAAAGACACTGAAATTTACTCACATATTATAGTCATCAAAATGAGATGAGAAAAAGACAAATTGTGATTATCATTTAGTTGCTTGATCTACAAAGAACAAAATGTCCAATTACTAGAGAACCTAGTAATCCTTTATTCTATTAAAATTTATGTTTTTGACTATTTGTTATTTTGTTACATAATAATATAAAATAAAATCTATTAGCATTTAGGTCAAATTTACTGAAAATCATGCTCTTGTCTACATGATACTAAGTCAATTAAACTGATTTTTTTAAAAAGTAGAACAGGATAAATTCATGTGTTAGAAGTAGGAAGTTTACAAACATTTCTTGGAAAACAAAAGAGTTTTCTTGGAAAACAAAAGGGAAGGTTTCATTAAGCCAGTTTCTTCTTGACTAATCACTCTTTGACATCAATTAGAAATGCTGTAAAATTTTGACTGGTAATAATAACATGATGAAGTTTGACATGAACACTAGCAAATGCAAAATAAAATCACTTGAATTAAAGTGTACTCACTTTATATGTCCCATATTGTCACACTTACAATGAGAACATGCTATATTTGTATGAACAGAATAGCAAAATGTTTTCCAGAATTGTATAATTTTAATACACTGCTCTGCTCCTAAATAACTTTTGACATTTCATTCTACCTATGACCATATAATTAAAAGGCAGTAGGGAAGACTGTCACTATATCGTTTTATTTTATGTTAAAACTTTCTCCATGACTTACCAATTCTAGAGAGTGTGTCACAACATTACTTGACTCAGGACACACTGCAACCTGGAGAGTTTCCCTCTCAAAAATAATGGTATTTTCCCTAAAACAATGTTATATATATATAATGGTATTTTCTCCAAAAAAAAAAAAGGTAATAAATATAGAGAGGGTGGTAATGAAGAAATAATGCATTTTGAGACCTAACAATACCCAACTGATGATCAAGTACCAATGGGAATTATTAAATATATCATGTTTTCCCTGAATTACAACAGTGAAAATTCATTTCTGGCATTGCATAATTATAGAAATTGATGTTTTACTTATGCACAATACTTAAGAGGGACAACACAAAACCATTATGTGGTCTGGGAATTTATAATATGAAACTTTACCTGAAGAATATTAAAAATAATGAACCATAAAATACATAACTTTTACTAGGTACTAATTTCAGACCTGGCACTATTTTTAGCATAACTGGGCCTCTTAAAACAGAAGATCCAAAGATCTAAAGCTGGCTGATTGCATTTCTACTATTTCCTCATTTCCATCTCCAGTTCTAAGAAACTTCCTATGGATTATCTCCCTTGCTCTCTTTCATATCCCATTGAAAAATACATTTACGCAATAAAATTATCCCTTTCATGCCTTTACTCACTTCTATTTGAAATAAATGATGCTTCAAATTGCCTGCTTCCATTTTTAATAACACCACTGTTCTAAGAGTGATAAGAATGTAAGATAGTATGGGGAATATAACCAAAATGAAAATGCATACATTGTGCAAAAATGAAAAATGATATAAGAATTATATAAAATAAAATATTAAAAATAAATACGTATAAGAAAAGCAAAAAAAAAAGAATGTAAGATAGCCATATGATCCAAGATTTCCTTGCCCA